ATCTTCAGACACAACTTCACGTGCTGAGTTGTCTTGCTGGCAAGTATCATAAGTATCATTTTAGTGTCCAATCTTTTTGCACCTTAAGCTGTGCAGCCAAAGCCATTCCGGTGCAGTGCAAACCTCGCACGGCAGCCCCGTCGTATGATGCTCTGAAACGCATATCTTGCATCTTCAGACACAACTTCACGTGCTGAGTTGTCTTGCTGGCAAGTACTATAAGTGTAGGGGATGATAGTCTTCAGTTCAGACATCGAAGGCAGAGGCGTGTCTGTGGGTGTACGAAGTAAGTTTCAGCAGACATAGCATGTCCAATGGGGTGTTCCATGGGATGTGTCATGTCAAATGGATCTCAGTGCTGCGGTTCGTGCAGCTTTGAGACCTGCCACTGCAAAGCCAGTTTCGGGTGGCAGTGAATCTGGAGTGGCAGCTGCAGTTCGTACAGCTGGAGTGGCAGCTGCAGTTCGTGCAGCTGCGGGCTTTCGGCCTGGAGGTGCCGAGGCATCTCGTCCCGAGGTTGATGAGGTCAGAAGAGCCTTCCTGCGAAATGTAGTCCGGGAGCAGAAGTCCAAAGCGAAGGCCTGCAAAAAACATGTCACCTTCAACTTTTCTGCAATTCGAAACATGGTGGCTCAACGGTCCCTCGATGTGGTATAACAAGTGCTTGTTGGTGAGAGGTTTCGTCGCTATTTCAATATGGTTGTCTTTGTATGTAACCAAGTTCACCTCAAGGCCCCATACTCAAGACTTGGCCCACATTCCAGGCAACTTCGTGGTACCAAGCAGGACAAGAATCAGAAGAAGCCAGCCAAGCAACCAAGACCACATTACAATAATGAGCGCCGACGACTGCTGGCGGCATCCCATAAGAAAACAGTTTCGCGCAAATCGCAGCTTGCTTGAATGGTTGGTTGAAGAACATATAAGAAACATGTTGGGTTTGAGCAGTATCTTGCTTCTATCGTGCAGAGTTCGCTGAGGTTCAAGGCGAGCGGCGCGGATGTGACGCGGCTGAGGGGATTGCTACGCAGAGATAAGGATTGCAAGTGCACTCGGAAGTCATGCTTCCGGTCCTTCTCAGCGAGCTTCGATTCTGTGCTTGAGTTTGTACGATCTTTCTATGCCCTTGACAAGCTTGACCAAGATGCTTTCGTGGCCAAGCAGCAAGTAGAAAGCCGAGCTTTGCAACATGGGGTCCCATTCTCGATATATTACTATGATAATGAAAGCGCTCCCATCCTTATCGCTTTGCCATCACCACTGGTAACATCCTCATCGCTGTCATCTTTGAAGCACTAGTCTTAGTATCATTGTCCTGCGGTGATTATTTGGAGCCGATATTCGTTAGCAGTCGTGGCTTGGTTCATTTTGAGCTGAGATTCGGGAGACTTATGACTCGGCGGACACGACAACTCGTCGCCGCCGAAAATGGTCACTGCTGGGTTTGGAAATTGCCCCAGACTGCTTGGCTGCAATTCTTGGTCTGGGTCGTGCAAGGCTGCAGAAAGCAGCCCGCGGTGAGCTAGACAAGCGATATGCCGAGTTGGGCGGGGGACTTCGGTATGCCCCGAAAATGGCCGCTGTAGATCGGTTTCTTCTTGAGTTGCATGGTTCAGTGGCAGAGACCTTGCCAACAGAGCCCCCTTGTGGCACTTTAGTGCAGGTTTGTGTCTTGGATGGACGAGTTGATGCCTTTCTTTGCCTAATTGCTCGCTGCCCCTAAGGTTTTTGAGGAAATCCCATCGTCGGCCGAAGGACTCCTCGGACGCTTCATCGAAGGTGGCCTGCAAGCTTGGCTCCTGCCCAGAGGCGGAATCCGATGCAGAATCCTTTGATATGGGGAATGATATCAATGATATTTCTGTTGTGCTACCACCGGAACAGCTCCAAGAGGATGAATCTCTTAGGCAAGAGATGGAGATGGATCGTCTTCTTTGGGCCAGGTCACTTGGATAGTGCACTTATGTGGAAAAGACCACGTTTCCGAGTGCGTTTATAGTTGCAAGCATATAGGTTTCACTTTCGATAGTTCTGCCCGCATATATAAAGTCAAGTTTCCGGGTACTTTGAACATTGCAGGCATGTGGGTTCCACTTTCGGGCAGAATATCGAATGCCTGCCGAGAAGATGGCTTCCGCCTGGAAGTGTGGCAGATATCTACAGGCAATACTGTATGTACAGCAGCGATGATCGAGCTTCGTACTTTGACTTATTGATGCTACGGCCTTGGCTTCAGTCTTCATCTTTGTGTGTGTGTGTGTGTGTGTTTGTGTATGTTCTCTGATGAGGTATTCGCTTTTCCTTGCTCGGTACAATGAGAAATGGTCCTCTCGCCTGAAATTTCGTGATCCAAGTGAGTTCCCCGAGTGCGATGATTGCTACAGATTGAAGGAGGCCATGCGTGACACAAAAGCGCCTTCGCTCATATATGCTCATATCATGAAATAGTGCGATTTCATATCAGAACCCCGGTTCTTTGAAGAGACCTTAGGACCTGAGCGCTAGAATGGCCTATGTTGCTGAATACAAACACCACATCGAAGCAGTTCAGCAAGATCGCAATTTGGAGCAACAGCTTCAATCGGAATCTTTGGCGACATCGCCTCGGGCGATACTATTTGTGCAAACAGATGGAATGGATCAAGCGAAGTGGGCCCTCCCACGGCTCGGAGAGAAGCAAACAAAGAAAACAAGCGCTGTGGTCAGGCCAGCCCCTTATTCTCAGGTCTTGTTGTGATTGAATCACCCAAAACGGCACTGATTGTCCTGACGTTGAAGCTTCTGCAGGCCCAGAATGAAGGTTCAGGGCATATGGCTGCAATCCATTGCCTTGGTGATGTTTGTTGCAGACATCCATGTCTGCCACGACAGTAGCATGACGTGCGAGGCTTGGGTTATCGGTAGATTTGCCAGTATCTGTGCAGCAGATGCATGTGGGTAGATATACATTCAGCCCATCCGCCAGGTGTTGGCTCGCGGGCTTGAGATTTGTATGGCCGAGTGCGCGAGACGTGGCATAAACAAGCCAGTTGAAATGGCGTTGTGGGTGTCTGGGCTTCAGTATGGGATTCCGTTGAGTACAGTCCAAATCATGTAGTCCAGAGATATTTCGACTTTTATGCTGCATCTCAGGTAGATAATACCACACGAGAAAACAAGAATGGGGCGCTTTTGATGATGTTGGCCTGGCTTGTGGCGTCCCACGGCTTCCGGGTGACCTCTATGGTCAATGCTCGGGTTGGGCACACCCATAACAGACTGGGTCCCTGGACTTTAAAGCATTAACGTTTAAGTTTCTGCACTGGGTTTGAGGGTGAGTCATTGTGCTTGTAGCCAAGATGGTTTGTATGGATTGCTGGCAAGCGCTATCCGATATTGCACCGTGCTCCTTGATCCTGAGGATGTTGTTGCGACTCTCGACGAGCTGTGTGAAGTAGTGGTATGATCGCCTGGAAGTTTTATTTGTGTCACCATTTGTGCTGTCCACCAACCAGGAAGTTGCAGCAGATCTTGCTGGACCTCAACATCAGGACCTGGGTTGGGGAGGATGCTCTCATCACTGCCCGACTATTGAACACGGTTCGAGATTGGAAGGGATGGCTGCCTGATGATACAAGTTTTCCGTGAGTGCAGATTATAGTATGGGCCAAAGTGTTTTCCTCAACTCAGGTTTGCCAAGCTCCGTGTGGAGATAGCAGGTGGTCTTCTGGATACTCGGATGGATTGCATTCCTTCATTTTTATGAAGAGACGGGGATTCTCGAATGCAGTGATTTCATCTGTTGCGTGTAACAGAAAGACTTCCACAGTCGAAAATTTTGTTTGGAGATTTGTGCTTGCACTGGGAGCTGAGATATTCCGACTTCTACGAAAATCACATCGTCGGGCCCGGCGGCGAGAATGTTGCATCCCAACCCGAACGATGTTGTCTGTGTGCCGAAGAGATATGCAACGGATCAGATTGCATCTCAGCAACCTGTCCTGATTTTGCCACAATCATTCCTGAATCGGCTGCAGTCTGCAAGTCCAAGTATTTCCCGCCCAGCCAGACCGACTCCTGCTGATCGCAGGGGGACTTGGTTGGACCTTGCGGAAAGCCTGCTAAGGCAACATCCAGAGTCTGTGCAAGTGGCTAGGAGTGTTCGCTACTTGGTTCGGGTAGGCAGGGGCGAGGTTCCTCCCCCAGCGTTTGAGCCTTTGCCCTGGCTAGAGAGTGACAAGCCTGAGATTCTCCTCGACGGTTTGCGCACTACGAGTACAGCTTCGTTGCTTTTGCCAGTGGCCACCTTGAAGGCCAGATTGCGAAACCCAAGGTGACCCAGATGTCAAGTCTGGCGACTGCTGTGATCCCAAAACATAAAGCAGACGAGCGATGTGTGCAATTTGTGTGCCGGCTGAATGCTTTGGGTCGAGTGCTGGCTGATTGCTGCTTGTCTTCTGCATGCATTAATGTGTCCGCGTGCAAGCATGAAGTTCGGAGGTCGGTTGCCAGTCCTGTTTTTGCCTTCATCCCAAAAGCCATACCTATCCCCAGCCTGTGAAGAAGCCAAGCCCGAAGTCTTGATGTAGTAAGAAATAATAACTACATCTATTTCTGTGTGTAGGGACCTCGCCACGCCCCTTCGATGTCGCCCAAAGCTGCTTCTGTGCCCAGGACGGAGTGCTTAGTGATTCGAACCGGTTCGTTATATGGTCCGTGTCTATCATAATTTCAGTTAGTTTTGTGGAAACAGTTTTTGTTGCAGGAATGGAACCGTCGACTTGGCAGCAGCCGTGCGAGCTGTGCTTCGCAAGCCAGTGACCAAGGACTGCAAGGTAGAGAACCTTCACAGTCTTTGGGTAGCATTATAGGATATCACTGTGGCTTCCGTACAAAATAACGAAGCCTGGGAACCACATCTTCAACTGAGCTTGACACATTAGAACCTGTTTTGGCTAGGATCTACCTTCCAAGCTGCAGAACAAGTTCAAGATGAAACATGCGACTGTGTGCACAAGCCCGTCTTCCGTGACTGACCAGTTCAACTGGGCTAGCAGGCGTGGTAGCGTTAAAACTGCTTCTCTGTCTTCAGTTGCAGTTCACCAGACAGAGAATTTGGCAGTCAATGAAAGCCTTGCATTAGGTTCATCAATGTGGCGATGAAGACTTGGGGACGCGACATGGTCCTGACTCGGCTGCAGAGTCTAGATTGGAGGTTTTCAACGACTTTCAGTGGTATGGCGTGTCTTGAGCATGCTGCGATATCGGCTGCTGGCTTGCATCAGTCCAGAATTCTGAGGTTTGGGGCCACAATTATTGTGCTCAGGGCAATACTACCCACTGAGGCCCCATGATTATGGGCTCGAAGTCCCAGACCTTAGGGATACAGGTTGAGTGGTATCTTCATCATTCAGATTCAGCAGCAAAGATATGCATCTTATCAGGGCTTTATATTGTAACTGTTCTGAGCAACTGTTGCTGCTATGCTCGAGAAATTGCAGTTCGGGTGGGAAGGGTGGTGGACTATGCTGGGTGGGTCTTGTGGGTAGCTAGGTGGGGGGTGGGTTGTAGTGGTGATGTTGGGGGTGGGTTGGGTGGGGGTTGGGTGGGTGGTTGGCTGCTGCTGTGCTGTGTGGACTGAGTGCGGTTTTTGTGCATCCAAGGTAAAGGAGCACGCGCAGATCGTCCTGCAGAGATGGCAGAAGTCTCAATCGGCCTCGCTGGACCTCCGCTCGGCTGTGGACTTCGACCGCCGAGCACGGGCCGTGTTGCATGCGACGTTCCCGGAACGTTGTGTGTGCGGGGCTTGGTTGGTTCAGTGCGCTCAGTGTTTGATTTCATGGCGTTGTCACGGTTGATCTTGCGCGAAACAAACCAATTTTTTGAGTGATCGATGCACACTGGGGGCATGTCTGCGGCATTTCCACACTCCGTGTGAGAACAATCGCATATGCTCGACTATCGACTAGGAAACTAGTGCTGGTGTGGGTTTGGGCTTCAGTGTTTCCCCGCTTCATGGTGGTGCAGTGTCCGGGCTTCTTCCTCCGGGATCGAGGCTTGATAATTTGGCTGGGCCCCTTTGATTAAAAGGGATTTGGCTCGGCACCAAGGGTTTGCTGAATACTTTGGAAACGGAACCAGTAATATGTATCAGTATGGCTTCAGGATTTCAGGGTTACGGAGTTTCCACGAGCTGATTTTCTTTAGCAGGTGCTGGGGATTCACAGTGTTCTGGCTTGAAACAAGGCTTCAGCTTGTGGTGGCTTTGGCTAGTGCTTGTTCTGATATCCTTCAAAGTTTCAGAATTGCTTCGGAACAAGACTTCCGAGAGTAAGGGTTTAGGGTTTAATGAGCAGCCACAGGCCCCAGTGGCTTTACTAGGAAACTTGGGAAGTTAGAGCACAGATATTTATAGGCACGACAGCCGCCTAAGATTCATGACGATGGACAGATCTATTGTGAAACAAAGGAGGAGATAGTGTAAGATTCATAGTAAGTACATACTTGATACCATTGTAAGGGCCGGCTGATTCCCAAAATATTATTCAAGCCCTAAATCCCTTACGCCCTAAACCCTAAAACCCTAAAGCCCCTAAACCCTAAACCCCTAAACCCTGAAACCCTAAACCCCTTACGCCCTCAACCCTAAACCTTAAAGTCTGTGACCGTGGGATTGGATAGGCTGAGGTTTCCAAGCTTCACGCCATCATCCCGTATTCTGTATTGGAGAAGTCATTGTCCAAGATTCATATATCGTGTCAGGCTCGGGAAGACTGTAAATGAGGGACTCCTGCCATGACCCGATCTGGAACTTGCATCAAGCATCCTTTGAGCGATAGGTGACTTTTAAGGATGAGGACGTTGCCCAGGGACAAAACTGTCGCAGCAGTCTTGTTATATTAAAGGCCACATGAATACTAAAAGAGTTCGTGGTATGAGCCCGGCGTGTCGCAATCTGATTTGTTGACGAACGAGGACGTGAAACTCGTGGTGTTGCGAACACGACAAATCGTCACTAAGTTGTCATTGTTTGAGACTGACACCGACATTACAAGCATGGTTGCCGCACCCCATCTGAATGATTGCCTGCGACGGGAAATAATTGCTCATTCATGAGAGGGTCGCGAAATAGGTGCATGTCCGTGCATGCATGATGTTCGTAGTCGCGGCACTTCACGATTCACGGGGGATCCGGCGACTCGCGTGATTTTGGTTTTCGGGGGTCGCGGGCTTCGGTACATTGGCATCCTTTGTTTGGTGATGTTTTTGTTATGCGAAATTCGGGCTTAGCTTTGGCTTTAGGTTCGAGTCCGTAAAGCTAGAGACTTATCCTGTTTCACTGGCTCCATGATATATTTCAATGGTGGGAAAACACTTCGAATTCTAATCCCAGGTCTTTGGAGTTAAAAAGTTATCGTGGTAGGAGTCCTAAAGTTGATCTGTTGTAACATTAATGTTTGCATTCCCTTTCTCAGGTTCGGTGATGTTCTTCAATGGAAATTGGAGCATCGGACTGGGGAGCAGCTGCGGGCCTACTGCTACACCCACAACAAAGACTGTGCTGTTGGGGTTGAGCCACACTCCTCGGCCCAGCGACACACTGGCTTTTCCGTGGAGGGTGCAGGGCCAACTTGTTGTCCGTTCTCAATAAGTGGAAAGAAAATGAAGGCCGGTTACGTTATAATTACAAAGCAGGGTTCAGGTTGCTTCTGATTCTGCATCATTCACTCTGACCTGTGCAGACGGCCGACCCCCGCTACATGACCCACAAGACGTGGATGCAGCACCGTCGCCTTAACCGCGAGGATTGCCAGCTTAACATGTCCGTAGTAGCCATGGTAATAGTAGTTAGCCTTAACTTAGTCAGTAATTATACTCTGCCACAGGACCTGGTGATTTTCGAGAACACGCCTGGTTATGATGTCCAGCTGCTTCAGGATGAGCTGGGTCGGGCTCCCACTACCCTAGCTAATCTAATGGGTTTTATTATATAAGGGATTCGAATATTAATAAAGTGTATGGGGAAGAACTGAAGAATTATTAATAATATGGGACCTTCGGGGTTCTACGTCAGAGTGGAGGGATTGTATAGACTTTAAGGTTGGGTGCTTAAGCTTGAAGGGGCGAATTAGAGGGATCTTATTGTAGAATATGAGAATAAAGCTGAAGGTTATATCGAGCTTAGGATTTCATTTGACTGAGGGATTACTGGGAGTTAGTCCTAAGGGTTATATAGGCTGCAAACCTTACAGTTAATCCCTAACTTAAACTAGGAAGCCCTGTGCTAGCTCCTCGAAACCCCAAGTGGCTCCTGAGATCCTGGATATTGTTGGGCACTTAAGGTTTAGGGTTTAGGGTTTAGGGTTACTTTCCTAGGAGCAGCCAAAACTGACTGGTCCTGTTTATACTCTGTTAGGAGCAGCCCAAATTAGTGCCGATGATCATAACACCCAACTAGTTGCAGCCAACACCATCCTCAGGTGATTTGTATGAAATCCACAGCACTTTGCTGAAGCCGGTCGAGATTGGATTCGCTGCATCGAGGAACCGTGTTTGGTGTATTCTTTGCCTTCGCTCGTCTTGTCGTTGGACAAGTGAGAAATCGCTAGCAGAGCTGGTGAAGGTTTTTCACTGTGTGCCAACAATGAAGGTCCCCAGTGGGAAGTAGACCCAAAAGCACAACCTATTGACATGAAGAATAACCAGAGTAGCAAAATATTCACTATCAGAAATACACCCTGAGGCCGAAGACTTCTTTCACGATGGAGCGAACTCCCCAGCTATGACCCTTAGCGACATGAAGGTTGCCAAGTCGTACAAGCGCTTCTTCAAGGAGTCCAAGCAGGCTTGGCATCATCAGGGCAATGATTTGGGTAAATGCTGCTTAGTAGTGTTGTCCGCAGGTTTTCGATCTGAGTCAGCGAGCTGCGCAATTCTTTCGAACGGAGCTCAAGGAAGGGCATCTCATGACTATGAAAACGAACACAAAGCTTTACTGCAGTTCGGCCGACCGTCTGATGTCTTCGGCAGAGATGTGTGCTGCAATGGTTTTGCCCAGCAGCAAAGCTCAAGCAACTAGGCTGCTTTGCACGATGGGTCTGCATTCGGCCAGCAAAACAAACACACACACACACACACACACACGCACACACACACACACACACACCCTCAATCCTAAAGTTAAAGCCTAGACCCGAGATTCGAGTCCCGTCCCTAAACCCTAAACCCTAAATCCTAAATCCTAAGTCTAAGACCCAAGATTTGAGTCTCGTCCTGCCCCCTAAAACCTAAAGATAAGTCTAGACCCAAGATGTGAGTCCCGTCCTGCACCGTCCATCCTAAAGTTAAAGCCTAGACCCAAGATGCGAGCCCCGTCCTGCACCCTCAATCCTAAATTTAAAGCCTAGACCCAAGATTTGAGTCCCGTCCTGCACCTCAATCCTAAAGTTAAAGCCTAGACCCAAGATTTGAGTCCCGTCCTGCACCTCAATCCTACAGTTAAAGCCTAGACTCAACATTTGAGTCCCGTCCTGCACCTCAATTCTCAAGCTAAAGCCTAGGCTCAATATTTGAGTCCCGTCCTGCACCCTAAAGTTAACGGCTTTGCCCAAGATTGGAGTCCCGTCCTGCACCCTAAAGATAAAGCCTAGACTCGATATTTGAAACCCGTCCTACACCCTAAAGTTAAAGCCTATACCCAAGACTGGAGTCCCGTCCTGCACCCTAGAATTAAAGCCTAAGCCCAAGATTTGAATCCTGTCCTGCATCCTAAAGTTAAATCCTATACCCAAGATTGGAGTCCCGTCCTGCACCCTAGAGTTAAAGCCTAGACGCAAGATCTGAGCCCCGTCCTACACCCTAAAGCTAAAGCCTATACCTAAGATTGGAGTCAAGATTTGAGTCCGGGAGTCCGATACTTTGTCTAGACTTAGACCTCAATGCGGCCGAGGCAAAGCTCGCCAGGAGCCCGTTGGTGCCGCTGGCCGACATGCCGTACAGCTCCGTGGCACATCTTATAGGAAACGGCATGCACGTGGCCTCCGCAGGGCTTGTCTTGATCTTGGCAGCCCTTTTCGTTGAAAAGATCTGATTCCTTGTCAGATTATTATTGAGTTTTCGTTTGGGCTTGGAATGCATGCCGAGAACTGAAACAATCACGGGCCAGAGTCGTGGTTCATTGCTGCGGTAGCTGACCGTGCTAGATCCGGGCCACGAGCCCCGAAGCCCAAAAAGACCGACGTGCAATAGGGGACGACTTCTGTCCTTGCCTGTCTGCCAGCTGCATTTCCGGCTTTGTCGTTGTTGTGCACCTGAGATTCAGATCCGAAATCAGATGGGTTATCGAGGGCTTGTGGCTTCAAGTGTATCAGTGCAAGTGGTAGGTTCTGTGGCCTGGAATCAGACATCAACTCAGCTGCAGCTACAAGTCGTGTTTCAGCTTACGTCTGCAAGAATCATTCAATCATAATCTTCTGTGAGAAGCCCAGTGACCAAAAGTACGGACGGCTCCGATTCCGTCCTCTGGGCCCACCGAGATGGGTAAGAGGCCCTCTGCGCTGGCACCAGCCTCCAGGGCTCCGAAAGCAGCAAAGGGTCTACATGAGGGTGCCACACCCTGGGTGCTTCGTATGATATCCTCTATGGAGAGCCTTGTTTATGAGTAAGAATGTTATTTCTTGGGCAGATATTGTATGTGTTACTTTTCTGTCATACTAGACCTATACTTATTCAAAGAACCAGGACCTAGTAATAAACGCTGGCTGTAAACCAGTCAAAAACAGTGCCGCACCCAAAACCCTCACACACTAAGCCTAGACCCGAAACCCCTAACCCTGAGCCCTAAACCAGGACCTATGACCTCGAGAACGACGAGCACCCGTGCCAGCTCGTCCACAAGTATGTTGGCGGGGCCCAGGAGACTTTCGAGAACTTCGGGGAGAATGTAATTTCTTGGCTGCACCAGCGAGGGCGATGCGAATCCGTACCAGAGGCAACTAGACCTAGCTTATGGTTTTTGGGGTTCCACGGGTTTGGGGTCGTTAAGGAACGAATCCCTTGCAATAAACCCCTCCTCGAGAGCGCTGCAGCCCTAAACCCTAAACCCTAAACCCGAGAAGGGTATCCGACGGCGCAATGCAGCTTCGCTTGCGAACTCTCGCCGAGGCGATGCAGATCAACAAGTACTTCTTTCCGAAGAAAGATGGCAAAGTGGACATCCCTTTGTTTGCTTTCAGGTTCACAAAGCCCACTGAGGGGTGGCCGCCCAAGGTCAACATGGATAAGTTCGCAGAATCCATCTTTCATGGGTTTGAAAAGGACAGGGAGCCCCTGGAGATTCAGCTGACGGCTGGCTTGTCGCCTGGTGAGCCTCTTTTTCAGGGGTGTGTAGGCGTCTCCAAGGGCTTCTTGCGAGTCTCCATCATCCTCTACGGCATCGTGCAAACGATCATGAGGGAGGACCACACCACCATGAGCGAGCCGGAGAGAGAGTTTTTCACTGGGTGGTTTGACCACAAATTGATCCTGGGGTTTAGGGTTTATAGGGTTTAGGCATGTATTATCGCCAGGCTTAGGAATCCTTATGCAAGTTACAAAGCGCCGATAATTTGGGTCTATGCGGGACACATTTCAGATTGAAGGCACTGCCGCCGACATCGCCGATAATTCGGGGAACCAGGCTTGACCACCTTAACTTTGGGTCACTACGCAGGGGTGTCCCAGGGAGACTTGGTTTTAAGCTGGTCGGGAACGGGGTTCAGGATTAAAGGCACTGCCGCCGACATGGCCGATAAATTGGGTCATCGCGGGCGACGGGTAGATTATAGGTGCTTTGAGACCAAAACCGCCGATAAAATCTCAATCCCGTGGGGACTCCCTGGGTCCAACAAATTCAGAGTCCAAGACAATCGTGTGCCGCTTGGGTGATATCTCTGCTGCATCATTCATATTGATAAGAACCCTAAACCCAAAACCCCTAAACCCTTAAACCCCTAAAACCCTAAAGCCCTAAACCCTGAACCGACCACAAAGTGCCTTTAACTTGAACTCTTCATGCCTGACCGTCAGTCTTGTATTTGAGGTGGCTGGAGAACGTGCTACTGTTGCCGGCCATGTTCACCAGCCGGGCGACTCACGAATACTCGTGGCGAAGCATGCAACTGGCCCACCAGGCTAGCACGATATTGCTGTAACTAAGCAATGACAAGAACCACTTTGGCAGGCATCCCTCCGGGAGAAAAAAAACCTCCTCCAGACGGCCCTGAAGTTCCAGGAGCGGGCTGTGACCCTCATGGAAGATACTTGTCCGGAATCTAAATATACTTGATGATGACTTTATAGCAGCCCTTGAGCCTAGTGCCTAAGGAAAACTTGGGATGGAGCCTCGAGCACGCCCTCAACGAAGCCATCGCCGAGTTCAACTCCTACGGTCTCGCAGCACAAAGTGCTCAGTACCGGCTCGCGGAACGAGAGGGGTTTGCTTTGAAGGCGGGGTCCAGAAGAGTTTCGGGTTAAGGGCATCGAGCAGCAAAGACTCTACAGTATGATGTCGTGTTGCGCTAGTCGTTCTGTTCATTGTTCGCACGTGCAATGCAGGCTTTGATCTTCGGAGTCTCAGCAGGCGCCCAGCAGATGATGTCCCGCCACTTGCAAGTGAACACTTGGGCGAACTCAGGCACCTCCTAATCTTGAAACATTGCACGTTGCTTGTACTCTGGGTTTCATTGCCTTTGTTGCTGCTGCCCTGTCAGCCTTTTCGGTGGAAACCATCCGGAACCAGAGATGGCTGATTGGCTCAGCCGGAAGATCCCCGAACCCCTGGTGGCAAGCAGTTGATACAGTGTCTGCTGCAAAGCAAGAACTGTTCTTGGAACGGTTGTTGTTCTCTTTCTCTGTGCGGAAGAAGCAATGCCGAAATGCTAGCACAGCCAGAATCACTGGTGAAGCCTGGGAACAGTTGCTGGAAACCTCCTGCCTGCTCCACCAGATCTTGGAGGAGATGTCGTCGGCGAAGACTGCAGAGGGCGGTGGGCTCTTCCTGGAGGAGGACCTCGTGAAAGCGAGACGCCGTGGCATCGAGGGGTACCCTGCCAGTGACGGTTTAGGGTTTAGGGTTGAGTACGTCAAGAAATTTGAAAGCGAGTATTCAGGGACAGAGGGACGAAACAAGGTTGTAGTGCCTGGGTCTGTATGGGTGTGTGTGTGTGTATATATATATATATATAGGTGTGCATATAATACCATATAATATTATGTTTGTTATACTACAGATATGAATTTATATGCTACTAGAATACTGTATATGTATATGTATATATATATATATATAAATACACATAAGACTTTTGATTTGAATTCAGAAGCTTTCTAATATGTGGGTGTTCCACTCCCGAACACCAAAGAACTGAGCCCTAAACCCTGGATGCCGGACCCTTGACCCTTACAAACCTTTAAGTCTATGTGCTGATGAGCCACAAACACAAAATGCAGGAGCATGACAACGCTAAAACATTGGAAGTTGAAGCCCTAAAGCCCCAAAGCTCGACCGCAGCCAAACCGTTTCATAGAGCCCTTAGCAGGACCCTTGAACCCTTAAGCCCTAAAGCCCTGAACCCTAAAACCCTAAAAATACCCTAAACCCTGAACTCTAAAACCTAGTGCTACTCTCAACCTTTCTTCCCAGGGACTACAACACCGAGCTGCAGAACCTCGTCACTGCGAAGATGGCCGTTGTGGTGACCGACACAGCCCTCTGGAAGGACAGATGCGCTCTTTTAGCATTCAAGTAAATCTTTAATATTAAAGTATCCATATAGCGACAGCCGCTGAACTCTTCTAGCATCCAAGACGAACTCTTTCAGCATTCGTGTAGCTCGCTGTTGTTCGTATTGGTTAAAGCATTCATGTAGCCTTTGCAATCCGTAGTATTCATGTGGCTTTGCAATCGCTAGTATTCATGTGGCACTTTCAAGTACTCATGTGGCCCTCGTTTGGCAGGTTTAAAGTATTCATGTGGCCCTAGCCCATCGCCCCAGCAGCCGCAGTGTCAGCTCGCCGCAGCATCAGCCACCATGCCTCGTGAGGCAGCAAGGCTTGTGAAGGGTTTGTGGTAGCAACCTAGTTACTAGGGCGGCTGGGCTACTTAGTTCCCTGCCAGCAGCTGACAGAGATTGTCGAGTGACTTGTTGCCGAACATCTGCTCGTAGGTTCTCCTACTTTATAATCGACTAGCACCATCGCTACCATCCCCACAACAACCCCAACGAGGACAACTGCAAACACGGCGCTTGAACCCAATCGCCATCTCGTGCTTCCAGGACCATCTGCCAACCCGGGTCAGCTCCGGGCACGGCAGCACGGGAGCCTCGGCAATTCAGGCGTTGGACTTGGAATGCGTTCAGAAGGCTTTTGCTGCAGACCTGCTCAAGCTGAGCGAGGATCAGTCCTTTTTCTCGGAGTACCAACAGAAGTTGGGGGCGGGGCAAAGGCAAAAGGCTTTGGCGAAGGTTTTACGATTGAAGTCGGAGAACCGCAGAGGGTCCCAGCAAGTCGTGGACTGGATGGACCGAAATGCCAAGCATTGCGCCACCTCCTACGCAGAGCAGCATGTGAACGTCATCGAGGCCAGGCTTTAGGGTTTAAGGGTTGTCTCGGGATATGCTGCAGAAACCGATTATATGATAGCTCAAAGTCTCTTAGGGTATCTTTGCGCAGTTCATTCGCGAAACCGATGCTGCTGCGACTATCGTGTGGGTGGACTACACGAAATGCGGGGCTCTCCAGCAAGATGAGCTGGATGATTCTATGGAGGAGGTCAGACGCATTCTGGCCACGTTTCCAAACAAGGGCGCCGCCGTCGTGATAGCTCCAGCACTCACAAGTGCCAGGGTTGTTGCTGGAAAGAGGGGGGAAATGAGGCCGGGCCGTGGGTAATCAATGGGTTCGATCAGCCGACTATAATAATGTCCCAGCTAGATTTTCTACCCTCAAGGCGCATCGAAGACAAAATGGACGCAAAATCCTTGATCTCCGTTCGGTTTTCGATACGTATGGATGCCAACGGGCACGGAAACAGGCGACTCCCGCTTCTCTTCCCCGCGCTCTTTGCATGCAGCGATGGTGCCACAAAGAACGTCTTTGCCGGCAGCAAGATGCTTGTGACAGAGTGACGAGTCTGCAGAGAGACTCGTGTCGCTAATATGTGGTCCGAAGACATAAAATGCTGCAGGTGCACTGCGAAGGATGTCTCGTGGCTTCCAGTCCGAGAGTACAAAGTCCCCCGAACACGAAACGCCACCCCGTGCACGACGGAGAACATGGAAAGGACTGTGCTTGTCTCTGAAATTTCCAAAACAAAGAACCACTAAAGGCCTTAACCTCTCAAAACCTTGACCCTAAATAGCACCCCAGTTCCCAACTAAGTGTGTATTAAAGATCAGTGGCAGGAAATTGTTCTGGCCCTACACATGCCTCAGGGCTTGGGGGGTTTAGGAATTGAGGGGTTGCAGGTTTGGGGGCTTAGGGGTTTGGAAGTTTCAAGTTTATAGGGTTTAAGTTTCTATTTAAATTATCCTAAGTGGCATGAGACCTTATCCTAAACCCCAAACCCTAAATCCTGAAAAGGGGACCATTCAGCCCTGGTGCTTAACGTATCAGAGAGCAAATATCTAAATCAACAAAGCATGGAATCAAGACTACGTGCAGAAAGTCACCGGATGAGTGCACACCTTGGACACCTTTTATGTGTATGCAAAACTGCAAGCTTACACACCCATACCTGATAATATATGATACACATACACACACAGAGATACATAGTTAATGTACATATACTGTACGTATATTATGAGCATATATGTATGTGTGTACTGAATGTATTTTGATTCATGCATTTGGTTTTATCCATCCAAATTTCATAACCCTCAAACCAGAGGCTGCATCTTAAACTGATATGGTAATATGGTTTATAGACAGACATAGAGCCGAATCTAGATCCAAGTGTAGACGAGGGGCCAGCATCCCAATCTTGCTAGGAGTCTCAGCGACGCCCAGATGGCGGCCCAATACCTTGGAGGTATCGGAGTGCCCCGTGAGGTGTTGTGCAGCTTGCTGGAGGAGTTGCTGAAGTGTAGCGACGGTAGCAGTCTTTGTAGGCTCCGGGTCTGCTGCTGAGATCGACTAGTCATATTCGACACAGGATGCTGGGATTGACTCGGCTGCCACTGTGTGCGTGATTAACTTGACGCCCTATGACGGGTGCTTGGAGCGGGCGTGCTTGACCTCGAAAGCTGATGGCGGGCCGAGGTCTGTCTGACTGCTGTCGTCTCCTTGTCATGATAATACGATGATTTATTCAAACAATAAGTGATACAAGATGCAAATCCGCCCCAAAGGTAATGAGACTAAACCCCAAGATCGTTGTATGCCCCAGCCCGAAGCAGTAGCCTTAAATCTAGCAGGATGGTGACGTTCAGCTGCAGCCCCAGAACAGAGGAGGTGACGTTCTGTCAGCGAGTTGTCGCTCAACGGCTCCTGGAGGCTAGCCCCTGTCTTAGGTTGCACGCCGAGTCTCTGAAACTATCCAGAGGCAAGTCTCTGAAATGTCTCATACCAATCATTGTTTGAGACTGACATCAATCTTAAACGCCGAGGCTGACCTTGAGCTTTTTACAGCATCGTAAGTGCTGCAAGAAGACATAGAGGCACATATCACAGGACGCCCTGGAGTCCTGCACAAGCCGCAGATCCTTGATGCTCAGAGTTTCAGGCCCTGACGTCCCCCTAAACCTTGAACCGTGTAAGTAGGAACAACCCAAGCACCAAAACTGCGAGGCTTCAGAGCTTCAAATCCTTGGCTTATTCCAGACCTGAAATCCGACTATTTAATTACTGATCCATATTGATCCCAGAAGCCTTGAAGTCTAAAGCGCTACAAATCTTGATGCCCAAGTGCTCCTCCGAGTTTTGAAGGCCCCAGAGAGCTTCAAATCAGTAGTAGATCCGAAGCATTGAAGCAGAACCGAATAAGCATAATATTTCAGTCTCAGACACGACAATCCTATGAATAGCTGCTACCTAGACGCCTGGGCCAGAAAACAAATCTAGGCATCAATAAGTCTCAGGCCCAAAAGTAACTCTTACTAGTTCTGTCGTCCTGCAGGACTGGAAGTCAGGAAACCATCCCATGGGCAACGTCGAGGCCTACAATCCTGATTTTCTACCAGAAGAAGGCGGCGCACTCCAACCCCCGACGCTGCATGTGTGCCAGATGGTGACATTGGAGGATGGCAGCAACACTTTGGCAGTCAACACAGAGTTTCGTCAGAAATGGAGTGATGATCCGACACGCAAAGATGAATGGGCCCGGGAGCTCGCTGCCTTCGACACCAGGTGCCTCTCCAGAACCCAGAAAGCTTGCAACAGAGACTCATCCATCTGAGGAGCCCCGATAATTTATATTCCTAGACCCTAAACACCCTAAATACCCTAAAGCCCTAAAGACCTCTAAACCCTAAGCCCCCCAACCCTAAACCCTAGACCCCGAACCTTAGCCCTGAATCCGTCGATAATTTATATTCCTAGACCCTAAACACCCTAAATACCCTAAAGCCCTAAAGACCTCTAAACCCAAAGCCCCCGAACCCTAAACCCTAGACCCCGAACCTTAGCCCTGAATCCGTTCAGGTTCGGAGTTCATGTGCTTGGCGAGCCACCGCGGCCGCCTGTGCCAGCCGCTGCCAGCGAAGCCGCAGCAGCCCATGTCACTGTGTGGGAAGAAGAGCCCACCTCGGGAACCGATTTGGAGGCCCGCTACGAGATCGTGCTGAGTTGCCCAGGAAGATCGGCTTCTACGCAATTGCGTGTGTGCAAAGCATTGGAGAAGAACGAAACTGCGGCCAAGAACGTGCAGCCTGAGCAGCTCTACAAGCTGTTCGTGGCGATTGACTAAGTTACAAGAACTGTGCTTGAATTCGTGATTCGATATCTAATTTAGCCTCAGGTTGGCAATTCAATCAATGATTAGTTGAGTGAGGTTGCTTTGGAGAACGTTACCATCGACACCGACAACTATGTCATCGCTCATGACCGAGCTACGTTCATGAATGCCAGCAGGGTGCAGAAGCTGCTCGAGGGTGGAGGACCGCAGCAGCTGCCTTGAAACGTTGTCTGCAGACTGCTAGTTACCGCACCCTTGTCGGCATTGTCACAAGCATCATTGCATATCTGTTTCAGCAACATGAGGATCAAAACGAAAACCGGTGCACGGTGCAGTGTAGAACTCTGACAGCAATGTCGTCCCAATTACAGAAGAAGCCCTCCAGCCTCAACTTGCTTCACAAACCATCCGAAGCGACCGTGGACGACAAGCCGCCCGCTCACGAACCGCCCAAGGGTGCTGATGCGAAAGATGCCACAGCTGCGCAGATCAAGGAGGAGCGCAAATCCAGATCTCGATCACCAAAGCGTCCTCAGCGAAAGGACTCGGATGCTACCACCCTTGTTCTTGGATCTTCGTGCTACGTGGATAGTGATGACGACTTTGATTCCAAGGAATGATTGTTTGGGCCGGGCTAGGAAAAAGACGGAGACTGTGTGCAGCGGTGTTTCTGGGTGAGTGCACAAGTGCAGGCGTCATGCATTTACATGTTGTTTCAATATGAGAAGCAACCGGCTCGTCTGAGTGTGTTTTGTGGCCCAGGGCCAATCAAAAAAGTCAGCTGAGCCCTGCCTGTGTGTCTTTCCAAGGAAGCCTAGTCATGGCTATGGAATGCCCGAGTGAACTCTTTGACTTCTTGCAGGCGAGCCACTCCCAGGATAATCCGGAGACGCCTTGCCGCAGGCTTCTCGACGCCTTCAATGGGCCAGACTCTACGCCATCCTTCATGAAGGCATCGCCCCCTACCGGGTCTACCGCCTCTACGAATGCTTCAGGTTCGCTGGCAAGCAGTCCCGACTCCAGCCAGACTGCACCGACGGATGGGCCTCCGAGGTCCTCCCCGCGCCCGGCACCCGTGCCTGGCATGAAGTTTGGATTTGGGAATGCTTTCAAGCCCTCGAACTTGCAGTTCCGATCAAAGTCTACCGAGAGCAACCTGGGTGACCAAACCAGCCCAACCAAGAGCGACATCGATTTGGTGAAGAATGAGATCGACAAGGCCAAGGAGGCTCTGAAGCAGGAGAAGAAAGCTGGTAAGGCTGCTGATGGTGCTGCCGACAACAAGGCCGGATGATATAAATAATGGGTCGCAACTAGCTAGAGGCTCACAAGTTGCAGGAGTCATGAAGCTCACAAAGAATCCATTGTGCTAGTTCCTAACCCTTAAAAAAAACCCCTAAATTTAAACCCTAAGCTCTACTCCTTACTAAACACAAAAGAACCGATTGTGCTAATTCCTAACCCTTAAAAAAACCTACACTTAAACCCTAAGCTCTACTCCTTACTAAACACAAAAGAATCCATTGTGCTAGTTCCTAACCCTTAAAAAAACCCTAAACTTAAACCCAAAGCTCTACTCCTGACTAAAACACAAAAGAACCCATTGTGATAGTTCCTAACCCTTAAAAAAGCTTTCAACCTAAACCCTAAGCTCTACTCCTTACTAAACACAAAAGAATCCATTGTGCTAGTTCCTAACCCTTAAACAAACCCTCAACTTAAACCCTAAGCTCTACTCCTTACTAAAAACTCAAGAATCCATTGTACAAGTTCCTAACCCTTAAAAAAAACCTAAATTTAACACGTAAGTTCTATTACTTGCTAAAACAAACACAGCGACTCCGGATCACGATATTGTTTATCAATTGTTGTCGTTTCCAGAATACCATTTATCTCCCAACTTCCCAAAAGAACCGGGTTCCCTACTCGAATCATTCTGCTCCTGATTGTACAATAAAATTATTGGGGCCCTAAACCTTAAACCCCTGGAGCTTAAACCCTAAACTCCTAACCTTATCTGGCTCAATCTCACCCAAAATTTGTCCTGCCAGGAAAGCAAGCCTGGCCCTGTTGGCAACCTGGCCAAGCAGGCCCAGGCCAAGGCTTTGTTGAGGAAGCAAAGTTCAGCTGATGTGCTGGGCTTGGCAGCTGCTGTGAGCAGCTTGAGGCTCAGCCCTGCCCAGAAGTCCGCCGCCAAGCCGAAGGGCCGGGGAAAGAAGAGGCCCGTGGAAGTGGAGGAGAGCGAGGGCGAGGATCTTGGTTCTGCTGAAGAGAATGAGGCTGAGGACGCCGCCAGCTACGAGAACATTGACAGCGACGAGGAGATCAACAAAGAGGATCGGATTTCGGAGGCCAAGTCCGGGAAGCAGAACCGCAAGAAAAAGCAGCCCAAGACCGCAAAAGCCGAGCCAAAGCGCAAGAGCACGGGTTCCGGATCGGCCCAGGCCGGGTCTGAGACCAAGCAGAAGAAGCCGAAGGAGACCAAGCAGAAGGAGACCAAGCAGAAGGAGACCAAGCAGAAGGAGCCGAAGAAAACCAAGAAGCAGACCAAGACCGACCCTGTGGAGACTGCTGAGAAGGGCAACAAGCGCCCGTGCATGGAGAGCTTCCTTGCGAAGGAGTGGCTTAAGTTCCGCGACGAGAAGATGAAGGAGTTGAAGGGCACCAAGCCCTACCATATGCTGCTGAAGGACATTGCTGCCTTGTGCCCCGGCTTTCATTTATTTCCTCCCGGCAATAAGGCTCAAAGTGCTACTTCAACCCCACATAAACCCCAAAGCCCCAAAGCTGTATCATCATGTTTCATTATGATTCCAGCGCCTAAGCTCGAAGACACCCTACGGCTCGATGTGCAATTTGCAGCCCAAACCAGAATACTGCCGCTATTGCAGCAAATCCACAGAACATGATTAGCTAACTTTTCGACTAAAGAATTGTATGGTCATGCAAGGAATCATCCTAAAATACCAACCCTAAGCCCCCCGAAGTCTGATGATCTTAAACCCTGTCTAAGATACCTCAGGGCGGCTCCAGACCTCGGGTTTATTCCAAGTCCTATGGTTTAGGGTTACGGTTTCAGGAGTTTAGGCCATAGAGTTGCGGGCTAGACAATAACTAAAGAATTGCTTGCTTGGTTTTTGAGTGGGTTGGGCTCCTTGAGTGCTTGCGAAATTAAACCTACCTACCTACCTACCTACCTACCTACCTACCTACCTACTTACCTACCTACCTACCTACCTACCTACCTACCTACCTACCTACCTACCTACCTACCTACCTATCTACACAACACTAAACGACGTACGCGGGTTATCTGCCTAACTGCCAATGCCCCCAACAGTCTTAGACTTCGGCAACCGTAACCAGCAGCCTTAAACCCTCGAAATGCCTCCCCCCACTGATTGCTTTTTGATCCTAAACCCTAAATAAACCCTAAACCCCTAAACCCTTAAACCCCTAAACCCTAAACCCTAAACCCAGGTGGAAGACCCAGCCCGCTCGCAAGCAAGCAGCAGAAGGCCTGAGCAGCCAGGAGCTGAAGCGACGCCGGTGGGACTAAGTCCTGCGATGGGTGCTGGATACAGCAAGTTCCAGGTTGATACTTCGGGTTTAGGGGTTTAGGGATTAAGGTTTAGGGGTTTAGGGGTTTAGGAGAGTTTTAGGGTTAGGGGTTTAGGGGTTTGGGATTAGGAGTCTAGGGTTCAGGAGATTAGGGGTTTAGGGTTTAGGGGTTTAGAGGTTAAGGAGGGTTTTAGGGTTAGGGCTTAGAGGGTTTAGGGGTTTNNGGGTTTAGGGTTTAAAATTAGTGCCTCTGCTGCTCCAAAGCACATCACAATTTAGGCCAAACTTGCTGGATCTCAGGGGAACACAGTTCCATCATTCGAAGACAGAAATGATGGCTTAGTGCTCGTGAGTAGTAGCTGGGATAGACTGTTACGTGCAGACCCTGGTATAGAGCGATGCGAGCAAAAGTCTATCCTGCAGCTGCACAGACACTTTCTTTTGAAGCCCAAAACCAACCCGTGACGCCAGGAGTCCTCAAGGATCCACAGGCGATCCCATGCCGGTGGGAGAATGATCAGAGCATCGTGGTGCTCGAAGTTGCCGAGGTCACATTGCTGCTCTTTTAAGGGTTGTGGCTGCAGGGGATCTAGGGCCAGGGTTTGTTTCAGATTGATGAATAATCTAAGGAAGGCTCGCGACGATTGAAAGACACGGCCCCGTGCACCATCCGATCCCTTCTCCTCGAGTTCGAGACAAACGGAATGGTCGAGACGACCTTGAACGGACACGAGTATGTCCGTCCGGAAGGACAGGGTTTGTGGGGGGGGGGGGGGGNNGGCACAAACTTACTAATGATTCCAGTGGTCTAGCTATAATTGGAAAACCCATGTTGTTCAATGTGTTGTCGGTCGATTTCACAGGAAGCAGTGGCGACGTGGATTTCTTCGAAGTCACCCCAGATGAGCAAAACCCGCTTGTTTTCAAGTTTTCGGCCATCCCCACAAAGACGATCGAGCAGGGTGGCGTGAAATTCACCAGCCTGGCGAGCTTCTTCAACAACCGCGAGCTCATGAATGACGCGATGCTTGCAATGTGCTGGCGGGTGAGCTATTCGCAGGATGATCAGGACAGACTGCTTCGTTCAGGGTTTAGGGTGTAGGGTT